AGTATTAGAGTAAACGTCACTTCTTCAGTGTTACCTGTCTCTTATACACATCTAACTATTGTCGTGTTGTTTTACATAGAAAATATATACATATATATATATTTTTTTTAAGAATTGTTTTCTTGTTTGTACTTAATTTTACTTTTCAGAAATGTGGTATAAAATGTATATACATAGATATCAATATATTATTTATCCATCATTTAAAATTATGTTGGTTTCTATTTTCAACAGAGTGCGCGTGCTGACGACATTCTTATTCATATTCTTCATTATATTTGTGATACGACAATGGCCGGATGTGCAAGACATCGGCGCTGGACTGATGCGACACTTAAAGGAATCACTGGTTGTCAAATGAAGTATGTAAATGGCGCGTTTGTAAACAAACAAAGCATAAACGTAGACATAAGCACACAATGAAAGTGAAGTGCGGAATGCAGAAAGCAGAAATATGCTGCCAGCGGATAGTAATGGCAGCAATACCATATGTATATGCGCGGGTGAATGTAGCAGCAATTAGTTATACAAATTTTGTTAAATTTGATTAGCTGTTAGTGTCATTAGAGAAATATGGAAAATAATATGCAAATAAATTACAATGTTAAATACTATTTAATATAATAATACATACATACATACATACATATATCTAGATAATCCTATAAATTAGGCCTGAAAGCACCCGTCTTGTATAGCTGCACTCTATTGGAAGCGTGGTTTAATGTGAGGTGCGCGTCTAGCAAAGATTTACACGTGTGACATATTAAACTATAGTTTATTAATTTCCTGTTTAAGTACATACTATATTAGCGCCACTACAAATTTAAAAGAAAATACTCATATGTAATTGGAATTTCTTTGAAATACAGCAAATGCGAACATAAAGTTGATTTACAAGTGGTTTAGTTACAGCTTTTGTGGTAAATGTTAAGTTTAATCAGATATACATGTACATTTACACACACTTTGACACTGATTTTAAGAAGAATGACTCAATTTCCACTGTTTAGTTTAGTTTTATACTCATATGCGCTCATTTGTATGCCACACTCACACACACATGTTGCAAAATTTAACCAATTTTAGGTGAAGCTTAAGCTTTAAATGTTCTTCTGCCATTTTTTAATATCTCAAATATTTTTTAAACAGTCTAAAATGCATTTTTGCGTCAACAACAATAACCTCCATAAACCTATGTTCTGTAATGTAATGATAACAACAAAATTTTGAGGTTGTAGATTGAAAACTTTCTAAGTTACCTTATATACATTTACTGATTCTAAAATTATTCTCAAATATGTACTACATCAAATTCAGCCTACTAAATATAAAAATAGAAAATATCAAACTATAAATTTTAATTACCAAAAAACGTATTTTAAAAATTAATTATCAAATTGGTGTTTCAAGTTCTGCTAAACAGTCACTTTAAAAGCAATTTCAAAAATATTTTTTTAAATATTAATATAATATACAGTTTATAAAAAAGTTTTGAAATTCGAAAACTCGTTTGATTCTCGAGGGTATGGTAAAAGTGGAAGCAAATTTTGAAAAATATTTCTAGAATATTTTTTAAACGTAAATGTAATATATTATATAAAATACCATGTATAACTATATAATATATTAAATACTAATAATATATTTCTAAAAATATACTTCAATTTTATTTATTTTATAGTATATACTTTCTTTTTAAGTCTATTCCATGCGAAAATCAAGTGAATTTGCGTATTTCAAAACTTATTGATAAATTTCGCAACAATAGTAAATGATAAATAATTTAGTGACCTCCTCACTTCAATAGAGAAAAAAATTGCTAAAATAGTGCAGTGTACCGTTTTTTTATATTTACATTACTTATATTAACAAACAACAGTTAGATATTAAGTTGGTATGTTTGTATGCGAATAAAGTCTAAAAAAACTAGAGTCTATTTTTTAAAACCGGCCACGCAAAGTCGCTGAACACACAAACGCGATAGTTGGCGGAAGGCTGACCAAAATTGTTTAAATCAGTAAGAAAAGAAGATTTATCAGATTTAACAGTGAATAATATTGTTAATATGTATAAATTACTATGGTGGCTGCTATGGTATTTGATTTGAATATATTTTCAATGAAATAGGAAAGTATATTTTTTGTTCAGTTATTCGAGCTACATTAGTCTATATTTTAATATTGTATCTTACGTACATTTAAATATTAAAAATTATGCGGATTTTAGTGCAGTTTTCACAATTTTAATCCATAGCTGTTAGTTATAGTGAATAGTAATGATGCCTGAATGCATTAGATTTCATTATTTTAGTGTAATTTTCGAGAGTAAATTAATTACAAAGTAAACAAAAAAACAAAAAAAAAACAAATAAGATATTTTACAATTTGCAGTTTTTGTATGTTGTATTTAGGTGAAGTGGCAAGTGTGTGATGAAAAACTGCTTAGATATGGTTTGGAGTTTGCGTAAAATGGCCTAAAAATTTTAGTTCTTCAAAAAAAAAAACAAAAAAACTCGCATTAAATAATTTTTTACGGCACTAAGTATTAGTAGCGTGATTATTTTCTTATAATTAAAAAAAAAATTTCTCGAAAACTGTAGCATACTGAATATTTAATGAAAATAATTTTTATTCTGCCCAACTACGAATATCCACAAACCCTATTGAATACCAACTTTAATTACATACTACAAACATACATTTTAATTATTATTTTTTATTACTCTTTGTATTACAAAAACATAACTATGAATGAAAAAAAATAATAAATATATAAATGAAAATTTATATTAAAATATATTGATCTGAATAAACGGATAAAATAATACTATACTCTATAATTGACTTTAATTGCTGGTGTGCCAAATGACATGTGCTTATGTGTTTAATTGATCTCAATCGCCCTCTACCTTTCACTCTCTGTGGGGTATATGGTGACCATGAAATGAAAGTATTTAAAGTAATCCACTGCAATCAAATGGCGAAAGTATGCTTTCACTTGCCATGCTAATGGGCTAACAGATGTTTGATTCTCCCACAATTAAAGTGATTAATTTTAATTTTAGAAGAGTTTATAAATATTGGTATGTACGTGACTGTCGATGTATAAGATTTACAGAGTGTGCAGTCTAAAAAAACTGGCATGAAGCTACAAATATATATGTAAGTATATCATGACTGCTAATGGAAAATAGTGTTGCAAGCAGTTGTTGTTGTTGTAACGGGTACCTAATGCCCGTTAAGATAGTAAGGATTAAATAAGTTATGTCATCCAACAGTAGGCCCAGGAAACGTGCTGTTTCGACGGGGTCGGACCAAATGGAGAAGGGTGTCAGATGTATGGGGTTCACAGGGCTTACAAAGAGATGGCTAGTGTTATGCGGGAACTCATTCCATGCTGGGCGGATATTTGATATGTCGGGGTATTTTATGGATAAGTAGGAGTTTAAACTGATCCAGCTGCGGCAGGGTCATTCTCGTTTCTCGCGGCAACTCGAGCTCCTCGTGTGCAATGGGTGGTGGTTTGACTCCAAGTAAGCAATTCATTGAGATGGAATCGGTGAAGGTGTTAATGGCACAAATGTGAATGACTTTAGTGCATGTCTATAGTTAGTTGCGTCCAAAGTCTGGTCGTCGTATTGTTTTATGTCGTAGACGTAGTTGAGTAAAGACATCTTGATGCTCCTAGGAGGCGGTTCCATTCCAAGCAAGTAAGTTTAGGGATGATTTCTGTGAGAGCACCCCAGAAGAAACTAATTGAATTGGAGGCTCTGAAGGTTCTGAGATGCTTGCAGCTTCCTCGTCTACGTTTTACTGCATCCACTCGAAAATATTGGTGCACCGTAGTTAAGGACCGGCCGGCCGATTGACTTGTATGTTGCCAACAACCTTTCTTTATGTTTTCCCCATTTGCTGCCGGCTAGAGACTTGAGGATTTTGTTGCAGCTCTGTATTTTGGCAATAATCGCGGTAGTGTAAAGAGTGAAGGACCACAGGCAGTAGAGCGATTTAAGCTATGAAACTGCTGAAAACAGCGCATTTGGAAATTTGTATCTTCAAGCATAAAAAAACATAAAATGTGGAAAATTATTTTTTTTTTCAAAATATTACTGACGTATCTAACTCGGAACAAAAATGGTCGACTTATATTAGAAAGGTACAAAAAGAACTAATTAGAGATTCCAAGCAAAGCCAGGTCCTTCACCACCTGATCTTTCCAACGTAGTGGAGGTCTTTCTCTTCCTCTGTATCCCAAGGCGGGTACTGCGTCGAATACTTACAGAACTAGAGTTCTGTTCGCGTTCATTCGGATGACCCCGCCAGCGTAGCCGCTATCTTTTAATTCGCTGAACTATGTCAATGTCGTCGTATATCTCGTACAGCTCTCCGTTCCATCGACTGCGGTATTTGCTGTTGTCAATGCGCAAAGGACCATAAATCTTCGGCAGAATCTTTCTCTCGGAAATTCTTAGCACCGTCCATGCCTCTGCACAATAAAGCAGGACGTGGAGGATAAGTGACTTATAGAGTTTGGTCTTTGTTCGTCGAGAGAGAACTTAAATTCTCAATTGCCTACTTAGTCCGAAGGGTTCTTCTGCAAATAATTTCGTGGCTGACGTTGTTGGTGTTAATACTCGTTTCAAGATAAACGAAGTTATCTAAGACTTCAAAGTTATGACTGTCAACAGTGACGTGAATGCCAAGTCGCGAGTGCGACGACTGTTTGTTTTATGACAGGAGACCTTTCGTATTGCCCTCGTTCACTACCAGATCCATTTGCTTCGCTTCCTTGTCTTTCTGGAAAAAGCAGAACTAACGGCGCGGTTGTTGAGGGCAATGATATCAATATCATCCCTGGGGAGGCATGGTTCGCCTTCTAACGGATGTTCTTTGGCTGCACAGAGGAGTGAAGAGGTGAGAAGTTGAACCATATGCAAAAAAATTGTTTCTGGCCATTCCCAAGTGAATGGCTCTCAGAGAACCTCATTTGCGTGAACTTCTAAACATGACGCCATCCTCTAATCTTTTTCTACTGTATCACACAAATATAATAAAACAATCAATAATACTACAACAATAACAATATTAAAATTATATTTATCATAAATTACTTACAATGACATATTAGGTAGCACTGTTGTTTTTGATATAAGAGCCAATTCAACGATAGCACTAGAAAGCTTACACAACCAGCAATCGACATTGCAGTGGACAGGGAAAGTAACTGCTGATTGACGACACCAGGGGAATTTTTCATAAGAAATTTCGAGTGTATCAAAACTAAAGATGTTAAATAATGCGACCCAGCAGAACTGCCAATAGCTGATAGAGTGGGCGTCGGCATCTGTTGTGCAGATCTAAAGCTTAGGCGACGCTTACAGCTTCCGGAATACTGCAGTATCTTCCAGGAGGAAGTTTCATCATTCTCACAGTGTCAGAAAATGTGCTTAGAAGCAGGGAGGCAGTAGTGGTTGCCGAAAATCGGCTTCACATATACTGAATTCTAAGCCACAAGGGCTTTCTGGGAAACTAAATAGCTAATGACATTCCCAAAATTGACATCCGGAAATACGCAAGTCGCTAAAAATAATCCAGTATGAAATGATCAAAATTCCACGCTCGCCAAGATCATGTACAAAGGCCCCGAAGGAAAACTATCATGCTTTTTACTCATTCGGTCGCGAAAATGCGGCCTAGCGACATGTCACAACTTACATGAAATCGAAATAGCATTAGTAACGATATAAGTAAGTACCAAGAGAGACTCTGGCACCCATCCTCTGCTGTTTGTCCGGCTGAAACTCCCATACGTCAACTACAAGTAGAAGATCCGCAATTTTAGGCACTAGATAAAGTATCAAAAGCGTTGAGGCCCGGTATGACGAATGCTTCAGCACTAAAGTTTGATAGGATTCTTACGTTAAGTTAAATATATTGATTGAATGAAACTGAACCTCTCTCTGATTAAAATGACAAGAAGGTTTATGAATGGCTTTACAATCAGCTAGTAGAAGCAAACCTAACCTAAGTTAGTTAAAAGCCATGGATAATTTTTTTTTTTTTTTGCAAAATGCAGGCCTACGGAGTGCAGTCACAAGCCTCCCACTTTTTCATATTTCCATTGGTACAATTATTTTCGAATTATTGCTCATTTGTTGAAACCGACAAGATCGAACTCATATAATCGATTTTTCAGATAAACGATTTTTCTTTATAAAATTTAAGGTTTTTAGCATACAAATTTTCTGGTTTGGAAGTTAGTTTAGATTTTTAAGTTTTTACTATAAATTAGTAGTAATAAAAAGTCACGTGTTTACTTGGAATACCATATTAGTCATTAATTCATGTATTTTGTTGTTGGAACATTTTATATTTACATTTCACAATTGACGTGATCTCTTAGGTCACGCTAAAAGTTTGATAATATTTTTCCTTAATAATTTCATATTATTACAATGCTATAGTTGGTAACCTTAAGTTAAATCTATTGCATACGTTAAATCACAAACATCATGTACATTTATAAAAAAAAATACTAAACAAACGGAAATACAAAATTATAACAACCCAATAAAAGCAGTACGATGCAAGAGATATAAAACTTCTTATACAGATGAATGTGAATAATTGGTACAAATTTGTTCTGCAGATGCTTTGTGGACTAGTGTAAATTTGCTGATATTGAAAAGATTAGGTTAAAGACAAACAACATTTTTGTACGCCAGAAGAAATTGGGGAAAACTAGTCGCATTGCAATTTAAAATGTTTTGTGAAGCTTGTAGTTTGAACTTTCTGGTCAAAAATGCGCTAATAGTTCGACCAAAATACAGTAATTGTCAATATTTGTGGCATAGAATGTAGTGGTAAACTGCATAAAAAGTTTAACTTTTGACGCAACGAAATGGTTAAAATGAAAGAATACAAATGTCTTTGTTTTTGATTAACTAAAAATAGATTATAATTGTAAAAATATATATGTATATATGTTTGTATACAGTTCCGTATATAATTCTATATTATTAGATAGACGTATGTAGACAATTTGGTTGCTGTGGTGATATAATAATAGTTTCTGCTTCTTACACATATAACTTTTACTTGCAACAGTTTATTTTCCATTAATTATTATTAATTTTTTTTTTGTTAAACATTTGTTTTTTTTTTCAAGGTTATTGCAGTACGTATTTTGCATTTTCTTCTATGCTTACATGTACTTACATTGCGGTAATATGATAAAAGTTACATTCGTATATTCCTATAACTAAGTATTGTTTGTATGTATGTGTGTCTGCAAGCATGCACACAATTTACCGAAGCCAATATGAAATCACATTTTATGTATACACATTTTGTAAAATTCTAATCAAATAATTAAAAATTAATAAAACTATCAAATTTACAGTTGTTTCCACACACTCAGAGTCGCACAATTTCTTGTAGCTCCATCATTAAGCGTTAACATCTGCTGTGGGCTAGCAAGCAGCATTAGCACCTGACGCTACGACGCGCTCTCACGCTCGTGGTCGCTTCCTTTGCACGCACGCACACACACACATAGTAATGACGACAGCTGTATATGCATTCAACTCCTCACTTATTTCTACATTTATTTAAAATATAAAAGTTGCTATTCTCACTCCACCACACTTCGAAGGCTATGTCTGATTTGGTGCTAGCTCTTGTAGTTTGTGACGGCCACATCTGTGGAGTTCACACTCATATGCGTTGCGTGCGTGTGGGTGGTGCTGTAGCCTGCGTTTGCTGCTGCTGCTGCTGTTGTTGTTGTTGTTGTTGTTGTCGCCTAGGTGCAACTGTTTCGCTGCTCTCCGTATTATTATTTTCATTACGTGTTATAACTGTGACTGGCTCATAAATCGACTGCTGCGGCAACTCATCATCGTCGTCGTCGTCATCATCATCGTATTCTTTGAAGGAACCAGCTAAATTCGGATTGAGAATGTTGTTCGAAGAATGTGCCACTGCCAGGGGGGCTGTGTTAGCAAGTGGTGCACTACTGGCTGTATTAGCACGTGTTGTTGTTGGTGCTGTTGCAGCATCTATAGCTATGGCAACATTCATCGGTGGCTGAGGGACAATCTCCTCGAGGAAGGGTGGTGCTGCAACGCTTATAGACTGTGGTCGGCGGAAAAAGCTGAAAAATAAATGGTTTCAGTATTTATTGATATATAATTAATCAAATGATGTAATGTGCTCAGACACACCTGAATAGTGGTAGCCGCCAGAAAGATCGTCTAGTTGTGATCAGTTGCTCGACAACGTGCGGTGGAATATTCGGTCTACGGTCGAAAGGATTTACACGACGTGCACTACGGGCGGGGGAGTTTTGTGACGCTAGTACTGAACATGGAAAAAGAAGAAGACAAATTTTAATTCAATTCATATTTATTATATTAGTATATTAAACGAAAAAACACAATATATATATATATTTTATAAAATCAAAAAAAAAATATATATATTAAAGTGTCTAAATATAATTTTTTTTTAGCATATTTCATAAACATTTCTTATTCTACATTATACGCGAGAGTTTTCTGTTTGAAGAATTTCCGTAAAAATTAATATTTTATTTTATTTGTTGAGTAATTACGGTTTTTTTCTTATGAAAGTTCTTTAAAAAATGTTTTACTAAACTAATATTTTTATATAAAATTTCTTCTGAGCAACTACTGTTCTATTCTCATAAAAAATCTTAAAATGTAATTTGTCCGAATATTTTCCAATGCATTGCTAACTAGTATCTTTTTCCCCATCATGACATTTACAAAAAAATTTTGTTTTAATACCCTTATACTCATCTTTACTAATATTATTAAAAAAAAAAATGATTTGATTGTTTCTTTGTTTAAATTGAATACCGAAAACACTTTCCAGGTTTGAAAAATTCTTTCAACGTTGGGAAGCCACACTCTCCAGTGAACAAAGGCTATATTAACCCAAAGTGTAAAAAAATTACCTACGATGCGAAAAACTGTAACTCTATCCCCCTTTTCAAAGTATTTACTTCATATTGAAGACTGATTCAAGGGATTATATACAGTTAAAATTAAAAAAACGATTTTTTTTATTTTATTTTCTTAGTTCTCTGATTGCCAGAAACGATTCCTTTACATATGGCTCAAGCTCAAGCAGCTCACTACCTGCGGTCTTTGACCAAGTATCCTCTGGGTAGCCAGAAAACAATCGTTTGAAGGCGAGCTAAAGTGAGAAGCCGAAACAGCCCTTCCACAGGGTTGTGCGATGGGTTTGGGACTCGCCACGTAAAAAAGACCAGCAATGAAAAACCAAAAACAGGGTATTTGTATTCTGTAACTCGATTCGAAAAAAAAATTCGAATAAAATATTCGTTAGCTTTTGAGTTGTAAAAAGCAAAAACGAAAATTCTACGTATTTATTCTGTCACAGGGTGGTACAACCTTCGCATAGTTATAAAGTAGATCCGAATTTCGAATAGAATACATTTACGAATCGAGATACAGAATAGGGCCGAAGCCTGTCCTGTCCAGTTCCTTAATTGGAAAGGTGTCGCTGCCGAGCGGGTTGACGTCCTCTTTAGAGTGAAGGCTGATTTCACCGCCATTGAAGAACTGCGATGGACGGGACAAGGACTGAGGTGAGTAGGTCTTTGTGGCATATACTACAGTGACCATATAAAGGAGCGCAAATTCGGAGTGGGATTCGTAGTGGGAGAAAGACTCCATTACCGAATACTATCATCCACCCCGGATATTTAGGGGTGATGTATAATTAACAAGCAAAATATCAAATACCACCAATAAAAATATGAGAAAACCCTTTTAGAATCGGTCACTTACCATTTTCTTCATCGGAAGTGACATCGGTGACATAGTGGCTATCGTTCGTTGGTGCACGTCTAAAGGTGCCATGCCGTGTAGTTGTAGTATTACGACCATTACGCCGACCACCAGCTGAGGCAGCGCTGCGTGCACTACTAGCGGCACTGTTGCTGCTTGTCGCATTGCCACTAGTCTGCCTGCTACCACCGACCCGCGCCGGTTGTGGGGCGGGCAGCAGAGGTGTTGTGTCGTCGTCTGTATCAGTTACACTATCCAATGAAGATTGTCGATTCGTCCTGCTTGCGCGCGGCTGGCGTTTCGTAAAAACCTTCCGTTTACAAATGGGGCAAACGCGACGATTTTCCGTTAGCCAAGGATCAATGCAGTGACTATGATAAGCTGTAAGCAAATGAAATTAAAAGTAGGGTTTTTGTTTATATATGGAGTACCAAACGGAGGTTTGAAGACTGAACTTACGATGCTTGCATGGCAGCACACGCAATTTGTCGCCCTCGGCAAATTCATCCAAACAGATGACGCAAGTGTCTTGCGAGAGATCACAATTTTTTGTGTACTTCAAGATCGGCAGTTTCTTAAGCATATTCTTTGGTAAGCGATGCCGGCGCAAACGACGTTCTTCACGCACACACTTGTAAATCATGTAGAAAATCTGTGGGAGCGAACAAAAAATTATTATTATGATTATTTTTTGTTTGATTTGTTTTGCTTTCGAAAAGTTAAATATTTGATGGAATTAATTGCGAATTTTCTCTGAAATCAGATCTGTTTAGTGACTATACGGTTTATAAAAAAAAAAAATTATTCTTTTATAACATAATAAAAATAGGGACATTACTTTTTTACGCTGATTAAATTACTATTTTTCTGTATTCTAATATAATTGCAGAAAATTTAAAATATTTAACACAAAAACAAATTTATATGTTTTAGACAACTTTCAAGAATATTATAATTTTATAAAAATTAAATCAGAAATGTTAATAAATATAATAAACCTGCATAACAAAAAAACAACAGAAACATTTAAAAAAACTAAAAATTATACTGACCCAATACATTAAATTAATTTTTTTTTTTTTTTAATTACACTACAACTTTCAGACATTATTGTTAACGATTATAAATGCTCCACTTGATCTGATATACATTCTTAAAAAAATTATAGAAAATTATTATTCTAATAAAATATTATGATAAGGACTTTCAAAAAATTGTTTCGAAAAACCAATTTAAGTTAGGTACATCGTGGATTACCATTATGAGGAAACAAAGCCCAATTAAAATCGAAAATGGTAAAATTAATTGCGTATTGATGTTGAATGGCAGCTCATCGTTTATCACCAATATCACCTCTGGTGTATAGAACGTCATCAAATTTATGCCGGTTGTGTGGCCAACAAACACTGCCGGTATATAGATGCCGCTCGCATTTTTCGCTGACATTTGCTCTGCAAATAAATATGTAAAAATATTAGGAGCATAAGATTTGCTTGAAAATTATGCCAATGAATTAAGCGTTAATAAATGCAACTCACCCAAATCATCGCCATCATTATTGAATACGATGGCGGCATCGAAACCAGCCGCCTGCGCATTGCGCACTTTCTTCTCAAAAGTACAGTTCATGCCGCCACCTCTGTAAATTTAATAAGCCGCATAATTTGGGCTTTTGTTTGAATTAATACAATTCAATTTATTACCTCTCGATTATAATGACGAATTTTGCATTGTTGGGATATTCTTTGCGTGGTGGCCCGGACACTGGACCGCAGGCATATTCATCTTTAGCTGCTGGTATGGCAAAGACTTTTATGCCATTCGCCGGTAGACTCGGACCAAATTGCGCTGGCAGATCATTATACTGTTCAATTAGCTGCGAAAAAGAGAAAAACTGAAAAATATTAATACAAACAAATTAGAAACCATGCAAACAAAAAAACTAAACATAAAATAAGAAAATGAACACACAAAAATTAAATTAAATTTATCGTTTTATAAGGGAACATGTTTTAAATTAAATATTATGGTATTTACCAAACTATTTATTCTGCGATAGACTAGCACATGTGCCGCCGCCTCCTGGGTGAACAGTGAGAGTCCGCAAAATGCGAACAATTCCAAGAGCATCCACTTTGAACGCATTCGGAGCTCCATCGTTGACTGCACTCGGTTTACAGTGTTTCGTATTTACTTTCGTTTATTTTGATTGTGGTTGTCTGTTAGTTTTCTAATCCTAGTTATTTCATAGAATGCACTGAAACCGTCAACCAGACTTCACACGATATTTTTCTTTGTTGATTTGGTTTTATTTCCAAACTTTAGGTTTTGTACTTAAAGCGGATCGTATATTCGTTTCAGAAAGCGTTGATGTTGTTGTCGCTGCTGTCCCGCAAAATGATTTGCATGTCTCATTGGTAATGCGAATCGTTCTGTATGTCGCGACGAGTCTGAATAATACGACAAAAATGTTATTTACAACAACAAATACAAGTATGCTATTATTATTTTAGCAATAATTTCATTAACATTATTACTATTATTATTAACGGAGATTGCCTTTAGGCGGGGCAAATAGTTAAACATGCCTGAAGACTTGAAGAATTGATCAGTGTCAAAAATATTTTTGCTAACTATATAGCCCTTATCTACGGCGTGGATCTCTAGTCTTTGCAGCGCTAAGTGAAAGGGAAGTACCAAATAAGATGACCACAGCGTGGAATTCTGGAATTTTAGAAATTAAATCCGCTTAATGAATGACGAGTTTACTTTTAATATGAAATGAAAGAAACTAAAAAAAAAAGAAAGAACTAATTTCAAAAATTTATATTTTTTTAAATTTTTTCAAATAAATAACCCTAACCGATCTAACACCAGGATGTGGTTCGCAAAGAACTCCTTTCTGCCTTAAAATATTGCGATGGCGTGCTTGTGATAGTTGTTACAAAGTATAATATTTTTATTCACCTAACGGTAGTTTGTATCACCTAAAACTAATATACATAGATATAAAGCAGGATGAAGAGAGTCCGCCCCTTCCAATTGAGATATCGTAATGACAATTGATACACGTGTTCCTTGGTCAAAAAATATAGGAAGAGTTTGTAGATGGTCGTAACCGGACCACAGCCACCCAAAAAAACACACCATTAAACGATAACCTGTAAAGTGCCATAACTAAACACTAATTTAAGATCCGTTCCCACGACAGTCGGGTCTACGAAAACCGGAACGGACCCGGAATTTTATCCGGCCAAGGACTGTCAACTCGGCAGAATTCTGCCGTTACAACAACAACAACAACTAATTTAAGATAAATAACTGTAATTTGGTATCGCAGTAGCAAAGTGCACCATTGGGCAAAAATTAAAAAAAATTGCGTGGCCACACCCTCTAAATGGTTTAAGCACCCTTGCCAACATTGTAAGAATGGATGAAATCGGATGATAACCTGCCCACTCCCCACACTTCTGTTAAAAACTACTAAAAGCGCCATAAATCAATAAAGAAATTCGTTATAAATTTTACATCCGAGATCATAAGAGAGGGTTCTATAAGAGTCGCTGTCAAAATTTGACAAGGGGAGTTGCATCGCCAACATTTAAGCAAAAAGCTATATCTCGGGACCATCTCACATTCTATATTATATTCTATAATGCGAAAATGGGCGAAATCACGTCTACTGCTCAAATAATATAATTTTAAATTCCATCCGATTCTTTCATTTTCCAGTAATCAAATTAAGGGCCAATGCATATATCGAGCTAAAAGTTTGTCCGAATACTGCCCTTGAAGTATGCCAGTCATTGACCAAAAATTATCTACATCGGACCAAAACTATTCAAGCCCCCAGGTACCCGAATATACAGTTTGTTTCATTACTGTAAAGACATTAAGGGAATTCTCTTGCTGTTGCAAAATTGCACTATGGTAGGTAGTAAGCGGAATGCAATTTTCCTTTTTATTAACATTAACATTGTTTTAAGATGCTTGGAAACGTAGCTAAGCACACTACATTCATCAAATTCAGTATTACTGGTGAAGAAACGTCGGTTTATTTGTATTGTTATTATTATTTTTTGTATATGACATCGAAACTGTCGAGCGAATGGTGCTTCAAAAATGAGCCGAAACTGTACAAACAAAATTCGCTGACGGCACGGAAGTCCATACCAGCCGAGGCTTTTATTTCGTCAGGAGCCCAGTTTTATGGCGATGAGAAGGATTTATATTAAGTTTGTGACAAAAAGTCAGTTCGTCAAAATTATACTATTATTGTGTGGCAGCCAATATTTCATTAAAATAGTTGAAGAGGAAATATTAAAGACCTTTCTTGCATTTACTTATAAAGACTTCAGACTTTCGGTCAGTTTTATGCATTTTAATTACAAATAACCAAGAAGTTCAAGAATATATTTTTCAGTATGAGTACAGGTTTCAATGTCGCGTTTGTACTTTTATTAATATTTTTATATTAAATTGTATATAATGCTATTTATTATGACTGATATGGAATTCCTTTATATGTGTCCACAAATTACACTTTGATGACAATGACCCTCTTGAAAATAATGTACCTTATCACAAATTCACAATCAAATATACATGCATATATATGTAGGTGTGTTGGAGCTTATTACATTGGAGTTATCAGACTAAGTATGGTTTGGGACAAAATTTGATATATTACATTTTTATATTATATCACTATTAAAATAGGTACAAGGTTTTCAAAGGGGCTCCTGGCCATAAAACATTGCAGTCGTCCCTCCAGTTCAGCTGGTTCAAAAAGGTGGCACAGCAATCGAGTATTAGTGCACTCATGATAAACCACCGTATATCTTTGAATATTGTGATACTCTGGTTATGATCGTGTACATTTTAAGAATAACAAACTAATACTAAGCGCTCTACAGAAGCACCCTCTATAAATTGCATTATTATTCATGTAATTTGTTATCTATCTAGAGCTGACGCGATTACAAATGCAGTTATTGAACGACTGAAGGCAACGAGCCAATCATTATTTTGCTGAGTCGACGAAATTCAAAAATTACTTTAACTATTTAGATTTTATAGCACATAAATTTATGTTTTTATGGTCTTTCGACTCATCAGTTGTTGTCATCGTCCAAGCCTCTGCACCATATAGCAAGACGGGAATTATGAACGACTTATAGAGTTTGGCTTTTGTTCGTCTAGAGAGGACTTTTCAATTGCCTACTCAGACGAAGCTGATTAGCTTAGCCAAGAGTACTTGGCAAATTTATTTTAGTGTTGATTTATTTTAAATTTGTGCAAATATAATTGATTTTAATATAATTAAAGACTGGATACTAAAACTGAGGCTTTGCAATGCGACCTATGTCACAAAGGTTCAGCATCCTGGTGCAGGTTCCAGGAGTCTGCTGAGCGATGTGATCCCTGTCCACATAGATGGAGGCTACGGCCTTGAGCTTGCTTCTGCAAATTGCTGAGCAATCCAAAATCAAGTGTTCTGGAATTTTCTGTTTCATGTCGCAAAACACTCCTCCACTAAAAACGATTTAACCTCATACTTTGAGATCACTTTTTGGTGCCGCTTGACTATCGCTAGCGAATTTATGAGTGGACTACTTTTTTATACTTATCAACTATTCCGATATACATATGCTCTCAACGACTTAACGCTCGCCATTATAATACCACCTGTAAAGTGAACTCCGTCATATCAAAAGAAAGTCCTACGTACAATGTCCCTCCAAACTTACTCATATAAACTATCTTCCCTCGAAGAGAACTAATATTTCAACATCACTACTTTAATCCAAGCAATGGTGCACTGTGCTTCATTGGATTATCGTATCATTTCTAATGGCAATCAATACCGTCCATAATAACCACTTCATTTGATATGCGAAAACGACATAAGAGTTCGTGTTCCCCATTTTGAAGAGGTTTTTACTACTCAATACAACAACACCACATTCCTTAAATTATCTTCTATACCTATACGTAACACCAATAAAGGGCTTGTCATAAATATACGAAAACGTACATTGTGACAAAAAGTACCCGGAAATTTTAAATAAAACGCAAAATATTTAATTATACACCAGATGTAATACACCTAATGCCAACGATTTTTCCGGTCCTCGAGACACTTTTCCTAAGCACTATTTGGGATGGCCTTTAGCTCCTTCAACGAATTTCGTAGTATCTCTTCGATCGACTAAAAACGGGTTTCGAGGAACAAGAAAAAATCACACGAATCGATGGTATTGTTTGCGATTTGGTTTTAATTTCGGTCCTAATCGTACTCTTTTTGAAAGAAATTCAACTATATCGGGACGAATCGAACTAGAACCAAAATCATTCGAACGGGCTTGCGAAGATGTCGAGCTTTCTTGCCATCTCTCTTACAATTGCTTCCGATTTTCGAGCACCATATCCTTCACCTTTCTCATATTTTCACCAGTTGAAGTTCGTCCACAACGAGGCTTGTCTTTTATGATCTCTCGACCGTCTTTCAACCTTTTTTTGTACTGCTCGTAGGCTTGTATTTTTGATAAAACTGAACCACCGTATTTTCGATATTCGCAACGGTTTCGCACACGACATTTGGTTACAAATACAAAATTTGAGACAAATTCTTTCTTCGATACTTTTATCCATTGTAAAAATCGCAACGCACTACTGTGGGGTACCGACTTAAGCAGCTGCTGTAAACAAACTGGATGACAGATCGCGTCCTACTTAGCAAAATACATTTGTTTTAAATATCATTTACCCGAGGAATTTAAATTACAATTTTCGGAAACCTCTTAATGTATGAAATGGTTTATGTAAACAACTAATATTGAAATTCAAGCGATTGCCTGATAGACGTCTCAATAAGTTAAATAAGTTTTAGAACTTAAATTTAATCTCTCACTACATATTTATCATACAAATACACACACATATATATAAAATATAGCTATATGCTGTAGAGCATTAGAAAATACAGCTGATAACAAAATTTACTGATTTTCTCGATTCCTTTCATTTTATTTTGCACTAACATTTGTGCGGAAATGAAAAAATTTAGCTCATAGCTTTGTACACACATGAAACTAAAAATGACGATTCAACTACTCGTAAATTCATAAATGAGGATCGTAAATTGTGGGGCTTTTGTGGACAAATCGGTTTGTTTATTCGACGCAATGAATCATGAATATTTGTTATGGTGTGCCTACCAAGCTGCTGTTCTAAACACATATTCACACAAAGTTACAATTTATGATTGCAGAACTGAAAGTCGGTTACTATCGATATTAGAGTTAAGCGCAATGAATATACGGCTAGGAACTCAATGATTAGAGGCAAATAATATCGGACGAGAGTATACGAAAATTATTAAAGATATTTCGACAGATAAGATATAGCTAGCGAGCATATTTCTGAACTGTACAAGCTCCATCTAAAATCAATTGACCTTCGGAAATGGGGAGGCGACTAAAAACTACCAGAATAAAACATATAAGAATAAGAAACTACGCCCTAGTGTCTTAAATGTGTAAACACCAATAATATAGTAAATACAAGTGCACAAGTGCACAAAATTAAGTATGAACACCATTTATTGTCATTTTTACAGAATGATAGAATATGTATAAAAAAAATTACCAGAGTGATAACGGAAGAAGAGAAAGAGCTAGTGAACTATAGTCCCATAACTGTCGGTTAAATAATCGAGCTAGGCCAATATAGCAGTTCTCTAGAGAGTGGTTATGATGAGTGAGTTTGAATGTGATGGAAAATTTGTGGCAGTAGGTTGCGATCCTGTACTTAGTCATAATCGCATCAAAACGATTTAAGTGAAATTCCCTATGCTAGTTGCAGAAATTTTCTAAACATAGAACCCCTTGACTAACTCTGCTAAATTTCTAGGATTATTCTCGACTGATGTTGACCGAATGTGAAGGAATTATAAAAAGTGGTTTTCATACTGACAAATACGGCAGAATAACTTAAAATTATTTTGGGATAGTTTTCTGCTGCTACAAAAATATCAATCTACGAATTTAGTGCAGACCTAATATTTAAACAAAACTTTAGCAATAATAACGGCGGATCCAAGTAGAAGTACTTTTTTCAATAGCCGTTTTTGACAGACAACGCGTGAGTTTTGTCCGCTTCGCTCGACTTATGGTCAACATAATCGGCCTATTAAGTGTACTATTCGCAACACCATCAACCATCTTGAGACCAATTCTTGTTGGATAATATTCGACTGAATAGACCACGTTCAGCACGCAGTTAAAAAAATATAGCAGCTGTAGCTGAGAGAGTAAACGAAAACCGTGGAGAGTCGATTCTTCACCGTTCGCAGCAACTCGATCTGACGAATGGAACGACTTGGCGTATTTTACGACGAGATCGTAAATGAAAGCGTACAAAATACAGCTTCTGCAATAACTGAAGCCGCTCGACCTTCCCAAGCGACATCTCTTCTCTCTATGGGCTCTTGAAAAGTTCCAAGAAGATCTGACGTTTTGAAGCCATATTTTTTTCAGCGATAAGGACTATTTCTGGTCCAAATGGTGTGTAAACAAGCAAATAGGCACATTTGCGACGAAGAGCAACCTGAAGAGATAACAATACGCCCGTTCCCACGACAGTCGGGTCTACGAAAACCGGAACGGACCCGAATTTTTATCCGGGCAAGGACTGTCAACTCGGCAGAATTTCTGCCGTTACAACAACAAGATAACAATAAATATATTTACATATATTTTACATATATTTTGCAGTGGATACAACTGCATTATATTTGAATGTTTTCAGCCAAAACGCCTACATTGGGTACTCAGTATCGATCAATGGTCACTATCATTTGGAAATACTCAAATGTAAAAGTTAATTATTGTAGTGAAGTTTGTAAGTCTTGAAAAGGTTTTAATTTCTCTCCTTTATAAGAATTTACTTATGTATCTTTTTAGTATATACTTGTATGTATGTGGACACCGCCGTCACTGTGAGTAATGCAGTCAAGCAATGCAAATAAAATTAAATTAGAATCTGTTGCGTGATTACAAAGAAATTTATAAACACATACATACATATATTTTTGTATATATGCCACCACTGCATCTTTCCAACGAATATTTTCATTTAGCGTGGCGTTGCGCCTATGAATAAAACGAAAAATTCTATTGCATATCAATTAAAACCGAATTAGTGAATAAAATTCAGTGATATGCAAATAAAAAACCAATTAAACATGGGGCAGAAACATTATGGTGGTCTTGTCAAGGCGTTGGTCATTTATTTTGGATAAAGAACACAATGGCCGTCTTTGCTGAAGATATTGTTAACAACAAGCTAACGAGCCGAAACATATGTAGATCGAGGTTAGTTTCTGAATAGTTCAAGGATACAAATATGACCTGTATGCAATGGCCGAGATCCCAACCCGATTGAGAACTAGTGAATAGGAAAACTTGTGAAAACCCACAATACGGATATACAGAATATTAAAAACATGTGGACGGCAAAAATGATAACTTGAATTTTTTTTTATAAGGAAGAAATATTTTACACATATTAATGCTATTTTATATTTTGGAAAAACGGAATGAAAGATTTCCGACATATTTAAGTTTAATAAAACAAGAAAAAATTATTTTAACTGCAACTTTTTCAAAGTTATTAAGTAAAAACTGTTTACACGTACTATTTTGTCCATAAGTGTACATACATAGTATGTTTATACATTTTTTTCGAACTATTCAGACAAAATTGGGAATTTTTTAACACATGCTTATTGATTGATAATTTGCTTATCAGATAACATTGGGTTATAGGGTGGTACACTATTTTTTTTCATAACTATTTTTACAATGGCACTAAACTCATATTTATTTGTTTGGCACGATTACGATTACTTTGGAGGTAAAAAACACGAATTTCGGAAAAAGATGTAAATTGTGAATTTGTTTAAATTTTTACAGTATAATGAAATGAATTTAAAATGAAAAATGTGCATAAACTGTGTTAAATGTAGTTAAATAGCAAGTTGGAATATTTGAATTTTGGGAATTTGTGAACTTTAAAGTCGAATATCTCGTAAACTAAGCGTTGAGTACCTATAACTCTGTATATTTTTTAATCAGGAGGAAATCTGAATTGTTGCATTTATTTATGCAATTAAATTTCTGCATAAAATTGATAAAGCCGCATAGAAAATGCCCATAACTACAATACAATACAAACAATAGATCCGTATATAAATATACATATATACAAATCGATTAATTCAAATAGGTGACAGCATAACTTAATTTTCTTTGTGTGTATTTTACCGAATCGTTTGTCACATTGACAACACGCTAAATTAGAAATGCAAACTACACATACATACATATACCCGAATAATACATTTAAATACTCAAAAGATATAGACGAGCAGTTGAGATCAGCACAATATTATGTCAATTTTACACACAGGTGGTTGGCACGATGGGTTATGTGAGAATGTGGTAGCAATAGCTCATAGCTTTGTTGTGAAATAATACAAAAACATTCTTATTTGAAAAAAATCAGCGTATTCAGCGTTGTTGCATTTAAAAGGAGCAACATTTTAAGGCCAGGGAGAACTTGAACTTAAAACTACACAATTAAAAGCGAAGCCCTTGTACTTGATATTACATGGATGTTGCATGCTAGTTCAATAGCACGTCGCAAAAACGGGTCATTTCATAATTGTCGAAGCAAATCAGCCATTAGCAGACGTGGTGCTCATTGTGGTCATATTTTTAACGATTGTTCTCTAAACTAAGAAAAACTTTTACTTACAATTTTCAGATTATTAACTATTATTTTTCGAACTTGAAAAATCTTTTAAAACTTTATATTTGTGCTAACTTCATTCTACGGTAGAAAGCTAATCCAAATCACAAAGCAAATTTTCGTACGTGCTTGTTAATGCCACTTTTAATGCGTCGTACGTTTTGCGAAGAATCACAAAATATAGTAGAAACATGTTAAAAAATTATGTTGCTAAATAATATTATGCAAGATTCATGAATGTAAACGATTTGCAATGTAACATTTTGTACTGCATGTTTTTGTTTATTTCTTTACTTCATCACTTATTTAATAATTGTATACCGTGTATGCACAAACTTACAAAAACAATATCAAATGTTTTATTTTCCACTATGTCTCTAAAAGAATCAGTTTTATTTCCTTATCAGCTGCTTTACCTGTCCTTTTGTTCTATGACATTTTTAAATTTTAAGGCTTTTTGTTTTGTTCACTTTTTGCCCACCTTCGGTTCCAAAAACGCCTTGCTGCCAATTTTGGGTTTCTTTAGCTTTTAGCAAATATTTCGTTGTTCTCACTTCACTCACTTTTCTTTATTATTATTTTTTAATTGTTGATTTTCTCGTGTCTTTACAAACACTTCAAACTATTGCTTTTTCGCTTTTATTCGATTATCCACCGCATAATCGCAGACTACTCATATGTTTTCGTCTCTTTTATTATTATATTTCTGGGTTTTTGTTTTTGACTTTTCTCTTTATTCTCTACTTTACGAATGTCTCCTTTGATGTAGCCTTGTTGTGTGAGCCCATTCGCAGGCGATAAAGATATATATATGGGCCATATATATATGTCTGCCTTCTCTAATTCACGTGAATTTGTTCTTTTAATTTTAATTTACTTTAAAAAAATTAAAGTTTTCACTTTTGCGGCCATTTCTATATCAAGCAGGCTGCATTTTTTTTAGCACCGCCTTTTTTAGCACAATTAGAATACAGTTGCTAAGATTTTTTAAGAATCTTTCGTTCCGTATGAAAAAATGGATAACTTTATGCTTCTTCTCATTCGATTGACTGTTCGAGATTTCTATGGCTCATTCACAATAAATATGTAAAATGCAGATATGTTACACAAACTTGAAATACTTTTTGTATTATTTAAAAACGAATGAATTCGTTGTTATATAATAACCATATATATATATATATTTATATTTACCATGAATATTATTTTTTCATATTGAACAACGCCATGTTTTAAGTTAGAATTTCAATTTGGTTAAAAATCTATTTTATTTCGCATTGTTTACTGATTAACACTGCGTAAAACAACTAATTAGGTTAACAGCTAATATGTTGCACAATCTTAAATATACAATTTTACGGCATGCTTTATCAGACCACGATCGTTGGACACTTCAATCACTTTGTTGGCTTGATGCTCAAGTACATCTTGTTTTGAATGGTTTGTTTAACAGGATTGATCTTCTTTAGGATTTGGGTCATTGTTTCCACAAGACGATCGCTAGAGACTCCAGTCTTTTTATTTTTGAACTTCGTCAAGAGCTCTGTCGGCGTCATAGGTTTGCGCATTAAATAACGACGAACAGCTTCTTCAGTTATACCGTAATCACTGAAAATATACAATAAAATTAAGATATTACTCTATAAAAATTAAAAATTTCCTATTAGAGCACTTACTCTTTATTGTTAGCATTTACTACACCGGCGAATGTTGATGGCACTATGGGTGTAGTATCTGTTTTGGTACGCTTCGCAGGTGTGCTTACAGGGCTGTTGCTGTTCTCCGAAGCTGTAAGATCACTAGGCATGCTATTGTTGACTTTCCGTTTAGTTGCGCTATTAGGCGATGATCCAGTTGGTGTTGCAGAACGTGAATTATTGTTAACTGTATTCTTGATATTTGGCGTCTCTTTTGCCTTTTTCTTACTACTGCTACTTTCATCTTCAGAATCGCTACTATCTGAACTAAAATCACTGGATGATTCTGAAAAACAATAATATTTTAGTTGGCGATTTGCCACTATCTACTTTTATATTTATTATAATTATCTTAATGTACCTTTCTTTTCGTCTTTTGAGACTTTTTTAGTTTTCTTTTTTTCTTTGCTACCTCCTTCTTCTTTAGTTTTATCCTTTTCCTTATCAGATTCATCCGATTTCTTCTCCTCCTCTTCGTCTTCTTCATCAGATGTTAGCAATTTGCGCAGGGCATCCTCTTCAGCTACTGATTTCATATCCTTGTCCAATTTAGACTCTGGATCTGGCTCACTGTAAATACGAAAAATTATGTTCGTACTCGTTTCAAAAAAGGTTTATAAACAAAAATTGAGCGTACTCTTCGCTAGACTCCGTATCGTAGTCCATTTCTCGTCCTTCCTCATCACCATCATCCGATTCCTCAAAGGCTTCGTCATCTACGTCACGTTTTTTCTTTGGCTTCTTCGGCAGACCCTTTTTCCCCTTTTTCTTGCCACCGTCCTCATCGCTGTCTTCTTCTTTCTTCTTCTTCTCTTCATCTTCATCCGAGTCAGACTCTTCATCAGAATCAATCCATTCATCCATTTCACTGATCTTTAGTTCTTTCGGTTTCTTGGCTGCTCCTTTAATTTTCACTTCCTCTGGGTCCTGTTCTTCTTCCTCGTCGCCCTTCAAACGCTTACGCAACATAAGCGAAAAATAATTCATAACTTTCTTTCTTCGTCCGAATTCCTGTTCTGCTTCTTCAGCGGATAGAGATTTATAACGCTGTATCGGTTGAAAATTATACCACTCGTTCAATGGATATGCTTCTATTGCACCATCTGGAGCATGAGTGAATACATAGAATGCAGCATTTTCACTGACACCACCCTCACGAATCCCTTTAAATTTTTTACCACTTTTGCCACCGACTTTTAAAATCCAAGGTTGCGCTTCGGGTCTATATTTCTTGGCAATTATGCCGAACTTTTTTCGTCGTACTTCTTCGCGAAGATCACGATTATATTCGGATCCTGCTCCAAATTTTGGAGTATCTTCCTCCATACCACGAAATTCTTTCATATTATTTTCACGTTCCATTTTAACTCCCCGCCATTGCGCAAAGTCGACATTCAATGTGGCATTAAAACGCATAACATGATGCTTCTTTCGCAAATTTTTAGGCACACGAATATTGAATTCCTGTATGTTACTTGGAGGGGCAGGTGTCGACGTGGATGCTGTTGCACTGCTGGCATTGGAGCCGCTTGACTGAAAAGAGATCAGAGTATTTTCATTTAAATATTTGAGATTATATTATTACTTTACTTACTCCAGGTTTAGCAATAGACGCCATAATTAAAATGGCTATATAAAACGAAAATTTTTGGCTTTTATTGCAAAATAATTCGAAATGCAAATGATTTGTACAGCACGATGAAGCAATAAAGAATGCAAAATAATGAAATATGCAAAGCCGAAGTAAACAATGTTAAAGTGTTGTCAAGTGTTTTTAGTTACTCAATTTTAGTTTAGTTATTACCAAGGATATAAAATTCGTAAGTGTACAGTTTTAGGAATAGAAATTAATAAAATTTATCACAAAGCTTTAAATAACTATTACTAATTACAAAATATGTTTGTATTAGCATATATTCGAAATTTTTAAAATTTGAGAAGTTAATTTGATGATTATATAATATAACAATATTTATTACAAACAAATTTCGCAGAATTTAAGAATTGTGTTTTACTCTATATCTATTAAATACAGTTCCAAAGAACAGATGAAAACAACTAATTATCTTTCAAAATAATAAATATTTAGTTAATTTTTTTCGGTATCTTGATATCAATAATATTGTTTTGTAACAGCTGTTGTGAGAAGAAATGTCAAAAATATGGTCATATTATTTTAATATATTTAGTCAAATATATCAAATATCAAAATTTAATCTATTTAATCAAATTTAACTTTAGGATATACGTTAGCTTTGTCAATATATGTTTGTTCATCTGAACTTTTTATGTTAAAAAAGTTAAATCTCCAAAAAATAAAGTTTTTAAAATAGTTTTTAATTAGCTTCATTTTTATTTTAGTTCAACTAGAAGTTATGGATTCTTTGAATGAAGATTGCTGGATTCAAATTTTACGATATTTATCATTGAAAGAACAAATAGCACTTTTACTCTGCAATAAAAGTTTAATTGATATTATTGGGAGTATGTGGAAAACAAAATATAAGAGGCAATTGCGTTTAAAGTTACCACCTGATATGCCACTCGAATTCCATGAGCTTCAACAATTTTTTTGCGTCGTGCATCAACATGTAGAAAATCTACAACTCGAACTTGACTCCAAAGATGCGATTAGTATGCTAAATGGATATAAATTTATCAAAACAAACAACCTCTGTATAACTGTGACAAGTTCAGAGATGTTGGAACACGAATTTGTAACTATCTTAAATGATATTTTCCCCAACCTAAGACATCTGAGACCAAATGGAAAATTTACAGGTGGAGGCTTTGTATTGTGGAAACAATTGGAACAACTAACTCTTAGTTCCTGTTATACATTTCAATTTAAATACTTAGAGCAGATACTGAAAGAATTGCCATTACATACATTAGTCTTGAAAAGTTTTAAAATGAAGGATCCACAACTAGCAGAGGATGCTCTGGAATGTTGTACTCTAAGCCATTTGGTTGTTAATTCTTGTGAGTTGTCTTATTTTACGCCACAATTAAAGAATTTGCATCATTTGAAGGAGCTAAATATCACTGATTTATACGCGACAGCCAATTTGGATTCACTCCACAATAAGCTCAGAGAGCTGCACAAAACTCGGCACATTGAGGGGATATTTTCTCGTGACATTACAGCAATATTTCCAAAAATTATTAACTTTGGAATGCATACCCATTTGAGGCAATTAGTATTGGCCATCGATCCTTTGGCATTTTCCGATGTGCTTGTTTACATTTCTTTATTACCTACGTTACGTGTGTTGCACTTTCATGCGTGCTATGTACGTAGCGAGTTGGAATTTGAAAAATTGTTTTTGCTCTCTGTACATTTGGATGAAATAAGTTTAGAAGATTGCATTATCAATTACGGTAGTAATCCGTGTTTAGATGTCAACGACATTGTCGGGAACCGTACAAAGCCACTTACATTCAATTTTTATGCAAATAAATTAGATTGTGACAATGAAATGGTAAATTCTTTCATACAAATAAGCTGATTGTACATATGTACCTCTAATGATTAATTAATCTCAACAAAAATATTTTCTAGGCTCAGCTGCAATTGAAAGGTAGCAGTAATTTGTTTCGACTGGAGTGTGAACAAAAATTGATGAAACGTTTTGGATACTTAGTTTATGAATTTGGTTGATTAAATATATAATACATCAAATTAAATGAATTAAGGCTTGAATACGTATTATATTTCATACGTATATAATTGTAAGCTTCATTTAAAAAAATTTATTATTATATTTCTTACTATCAACAAATAAAGAATAAGGTATGTATAGTTTAGGTTGCCCAAAGAAGAAAAAAAATAAATATTTTTTAAATATATAAATTATTGAAAAAATTAAAATATATATAATTTCCATTGGGGGATCTAACCTATTCATTTACCAAAAATATTTTTTATAAATATTACTACATTAACTCAAATAATAGAGAAAACAGTAAAGTAATTATCTAATTTAAAAAAATAGTCCTCATTTTTAATAGAAACGGTTAAAAATTAGTAATTGGTAGACGTTGCGATAATTATTTAATATGACTATTTTTCAATACAGTTTAAAATAGCGTATAAAATATTACTTATGAATTATACATTTCAAGAGTAAATTATTATTGGAAAGTCAACAAATATCATTTTATGGAAGACTTGGTAGCCCTGCTGATTATCCGCTGAATACACCTTTCTCTATCGATTAGTAATTTACGAAAGAGAAGATAAAAAAGACAACAAAGATTTCATCGAAGTTAGGAAAAAATCAGTAATTCCATTGCAAAACAAGGCTGTAAATTCCTTTATATCAGTGTTAGTTTTCCGCAATTTTTGTTATCTGTGGAGAGCCAATTGGATATGGCCATGGACGTAATAAATAAATTTTACTCAACAGTACATACGACAGTATCACAGCTGTCTGGTGTTCTTCCAGGGAACAACGTCACCAGAGAATATGAAGTGCTGGAGCAGGTGTGTACAGCAGGTGTAGGTGAGTAATTTATTATGTAAAAAGGCTAATATACAATTTATTAACAATTTACTATTAATCAGGGCTTATGTGGAAGGTGTACAATGGCTACAAGAAGAGCACGAAACAGGAAGTCTCTGTATTTGTATTCGAAAAGAAAATGTTGGAGCGCTGGTCAAAAGATGATCGAGAAGCAATGTTGGAAACATTAAGACGTGGGGTGCAACAGTTAACAAAAATACGACATCCACACGTGTTGACTGTTCAACATCCGCTTGAGGAGTCACGCGATTCCTTGGCGTTTGCAACGGAGCCAGTATTCGCTTCGTTGGCCAATGTTGTGGGTGATTCTGTACGTTCGGATAAAAAACTCTATGATGTTGAGATACGTCATGGACTATTGCAACTATTTGACGGTTTGTCATTTTTACATAATGACGCCAAAATTGTGCACCGTAATATATGCGCAGAAACTATTGTGATCAATAAAAATAGGAGCTGGAAATTATTTGGTTTTGACTTCTGCATAGCTAATCAGCCTGCGACTGATGGTAAAACCTTTTGGCCATGCCGCGAGTACTCTACTTCTGTTCATGTCCTAGCTCAACCGAGTTTGGAGTACTGTGCCCCTGAAATAGCATTAAATGCTATAAATAGCACCGAAAGTGACCTATTCTCTTTAGGTATGTAACTATATAAAGTTGATTTAGTAATAGTTAAAAAGAATTAAGATTACTGTTACTTTGCCAGGTGTATTAATATTCACAATTTATTCGGGTAAACCGTTAAAAATGTTTGGTAGTGATTATAGTTCATTTCGTCGATACGCTGCCGATCTCAATCAACGAAAGTACCCGCCAATGAATAGTATTCCCAGCGATTTGAACGAAAGCTTAAGAGCTTTGTTGCATCCAAGTCCACATATGCGCCCTCAATTACATGAAATGAAACAGGTAGGAAATAAATATGCATATATGTACAAATATTAAACACATTTTATAAATGTATAATAAAAATGTATATAAATCCAACAGATAGTATATTTCCAAGACGTTGGAGTTAAGACACTGAGCTACTTGGATTCCCTTTATCAATGGGATAATTTACAAAAATCCAAATTCTACAAAGGACTTCCACAAATCATACCAACACTACCGCATCGCGTTAACCTACATTCCATATTGCCATATTTGGTAAAAGAATTTGTGAATTCGCCAATGATACCTTTTGTTTTACCTAATGTATTGCTCATTGCTGAGATGAGTAGTCAGAAAGAATATTGTGAACACATCCTTCCTCATCTGAAACCCATTTTCAAATTGACAGATCCCATACAAATACTTTTAATTTTCATGCAAAAAATGGATCTCTTACTTAAGTTGACACCTGCTGAAGAAGTTAAGCTACACGTTCTACCACTGCTTTATCGCTCATTGGAATGTGATATGCCGCAAATACAAGAGTTATGCTTAGGTGTGTTACCGACGTTTTCCAATTTGATTGACTACAACGCCATGAAAAACGCAGTGATACCACGAATTAAGAAACTCTGCTTGCACAGTAGCAATGTGTCGGTGAAAGTAAATTGTTTGATATCGATTGGTAAACTACTAGAAGATCTAGATAAGTGGCTGGTGTTGGATGAAATATTGCCCTTCCTGCAGCAGATACAAAGCCGCGAACCTGCAATTATTATGGCTATAATTGGAATTTATAAAATCGCCATGACCAACACTAAGTTAGGTATAACTAAAGATGTAATGGCGCATAAATGCATACCGTTTTTAATGCCACTCTGCGTTGAGAACGGTCTTACCATCGCGCAGTTCAACACTATTGTGGCGCTAATTAAGGAAATGTTCAGTCGGGTGGAGAAGGAACAACGTGAGAAATTGGAGCAACTCTCAACTATCCAAAGAGAAAACAAGTGAGTTTTTCAGTAATGCAGTTTTATATTTATGATGTGTTTACGATCATATACTTTTTCCGCAGGCCACGTGATGCTTCCGAGATTTTGGCTACAGAATTGGAACAAGGTACAAAAATAAACACAAGTCTTAATAGCGCTGTAAACAGCGACGATGACATGTTTTCGGGCTACTCCATAACGCAACCAACGAAAAAAATAAGTACAACACAAGCAGGTCAACAACAAAAATTTAAAACAAACAACGATGTGCTTAAGTGAGTATTATTTTTAAGTATTTTGCTGATACTTCTTAATATTTTAATAATTTTTTATAGGATATCACACAACGCACCGCCCAAACCAGACATTCTTTCCTCTTTGATGAATTCGAATCTGACCAATTTGAGCAACTCCCCATCGCCGAAGTCTGCTGCTACAGCTACAACTGCAGCCTCCCCCATTGTAAATCCGTATGCATTTAGTGGTGGTGGCAACAACTTGACCAGTCCCAACCAAGCGCGCTCAAATGATAGTTGGGCCAACAACTGGCATAGCGCAAATCCTTTAGTTATGAACCATCAGTTAGCCTCGCCTCAGGCTATTAGCAGTAATAGTAATAACAATGCATCCTCTTTGGACAATTTAGATCCCTTCGGCGGTAGTAATAAAATCGTTAACGCCAGCATGCATAGACCGGCAGTGAATTATATTTATCCATCTGGATTTAATGGTGGTGGTGGCGGCAGTGTTGGTGCCAGTAATGGCAACGCTTTGAATAGTATGAATAATTTAACACCACTGCTACCACAACAGAATACCACGCAGCAACAGTCACAAGATAATAAGAATCTGAATACATTATCACAACAAGATATTTTAAGTTTTCTCAATTAATTGACCAATGCTAACCTATGCGGATTGGTGTAGATTATTTTACCGTGTTAGCTGGAATGCTTCGTATAGCATACGTTTAAAGCTGTGTGGACTTTTATAATGACAAGTGTAATAATTAATTCGCATGTATTTCTCATGCAAGTTTTAGTTATTTCTTGTAGGCATATTTCAGTGTAAAAAGTGCAATTTTATTTTGTTGTAGTTTGTTAAAAAAATATTAGTTGTACTCATACTAAAGGGCAAATTTCGCATGTCATTTTTATATCTGTAGCCGTGGTTTCATTGATTTTACGAAAGAACTTCATTAGCGTTTTTAAATGCCAAAGTATTCGTACTGCAATCCTAATAAACAAAAAATAATAATTGTAGATTTCATTATAATTACATACAGTTTACGGTGGCGTTTCATATGCATGTAACTTCGAATGGTGTAAAGAAAGTTGAAATTCGATTATGACGTTTGATTGCAAACAATAATATTTACAATTTCATTACACACGTTGCCAAATTATTGGCAGTTTAAGGAGAACAAACAAAAGAACGTAAATAAATAAATAAAAAGTCATGAACTGATTGTTGTATTAGACTAAGGAAAACCATTCAACAAAGATTACAGCTATTGTAGGTCTATGACTCAATAGGTAAATAATCCTAGGTGTGAATCCAATAATTTTACTGTTTTTAAACTATCATCGTGTGTGTTGAACATTATATGAAATTGTAATTGCAAAATTTAACTCCTTTTAAATATCCCTACATCTTTTACCTGTTCATGTGTTATCCCTTTTAAATAAATGTATTCTATGGTGTATACAAATAACTAAAGATATAAAAAGAATTTCTTAATAAAATTTATAGACATATAGCATATCTAAGAAATATCCCTATATATAATTATGAATATAAACCTATAACAGAATGTACTGAACTTTCGCTCAAATAAATGCAACAAATGCGTTTAAAATGCTTATTTCCTTATAGATTTGTACGTTAGGACGTCAAGAAGTTAGCAATTACTTATTGCTAATGGTCATCCCTTCCGCATTTTATTGCTTTGTCGCCTTATTAATTAAAGTCAATCATTTTGAAAATAATTTACTATTCACTAGTTGAAATGTATGCCTTCGGAATTGAAAGCCAATAGCAATTTCATAAAATCGTCCAAATCCATTGAACGTGCACGCGAATTTTCCATTTCCAACTTCTGTAGAATGGCTGAAACTTTGGCTTGCATGTTAAAATCTGGCTCTATTGGCTGTAATAACAAATTACAATTACATTATTTAATTACGATTTTAGAATAATTCAAGCTTACTTTATTATGCAACGACAAATGTAATTTGTAATTCTTTTCCAACATCTCAAGCACCGAATTGATTTTGAACGCCGCACCTAGAGTTTTATTCTTCCGCAGGAATGCGATACGTGTTAAGCCATCCCATTCTGTGAAATTGACAGGTGGTGGTGGATTCTTTGGTTCCAAACGCACAACACTTGACTCAACCTTTGGGGGTGGTTTAAAATTATTTTTCCCAACTTTCATTAACATATCGACGCGTGCCAACAACTGGGTATTGATGCTCAGGCGACAATACAGCTTATCACCCGGTTTGGCAACTAAACGTTGCGCGAACTCACGCTGAAACATTAGGACGGCACATCGAAATAGTGGCCGGTGTAGCAATAATTTGAAAATCAGTGGAGAACTGATTTGATAAGGCACGTTGGCTATACACAAATCGAAGAAAGGCAAATCTGCTTTGAGGAAATCGCCGATTAGCACTTGCAATTTCGGTTGCAATGGCGTAGCCTGCACACGTTTTTGCAATTCCGCAGCTAATCTTGTATCGATTTCACAGGCAATGACTTTTTTTGCTCGCTCCAACATGCGTACGGTCATATTACCAGTACCGGGACCGATTTCCAAAACGGTGTCTGTGTTGCGCAATGCAGCCTTCTCTAGCATACTCTGTATGACAAGAGGATTTTTAAGTATATGTTGGCCAAAATCCTTATTGAACACGATGCCTGGATGGAAATAAGTGTAAAGTAAACATCTATAAAAGTGTGAGGAAGACATTATATTTTTATCACACTTACCTTGCTTTTGTACCTCTTGGTGTATGCGACTTTTCTTTTCAGTTTTTATTTTCGGCATTGTGTTACTATTTATTTATTAGTAAAACTATTACTCAGTTAGTCTTTGATGGTGAGGAATTTCACTTATTTCCGTCGATTGGTTTGTTTTGTTTTTTAACCATGTGTTGCTGGAGAGGAGTTCCCTGCTGAGTGTAAAGAAAACAGAGTGGCCAACATTCTAAATTTGTTGACAATATGTTGGCGCTAGATGGCGCCAAAATCAGTAAGTATTATTTTTAAACATAATGCAGAGAACGTATATGATATACGGTATCTGCATGTGTCGAAAGAAAAGGTACATTAAAGGGAATCGGTTGTTAAATATAAAATCATTACAAAAATTTAAATATATGGTTGAAGTAAATTTATTTGTTTGCTAGTTTTTCTTTTCGATTTTATTATATATAGTTTGTATATATTCGAAGACGGTGAATTAAAGCTAAAAGGGTTTCGCGGTTGTCTTTTAGTCTCTATTACCTCATACGAAACATATCATGCCGGCAATGAGTTCCCGCATGGCACTAACCGCTACAGATATTTTTAAATAACAACTATTTGAAGTAATGACTCCACTATTCCGAGGAGTCATAATTATTTTCCGACAACAACCGAAATATGATTGTATGTAATACTGGATTTGAGCACAAGCAAATTCTTCAATCCACTTATCTGCCTGCGGATCGAAAAGTTCAAAAACCGATCATATTGTAATAGATGGACAACATGTCTCCAGTATCCTTGACGTGTGCACGCTCCATGGACCTAACATCTACTCGGACCACTATCTTGTTGTGGCAAAGATACGCGGCTGCATCTGTAGAGTAAAGCACGCCCGTCAACAAACACAGGGAAGGAACCGCGCCGAGGAATAACAATCACAACCGACATATAAACGCACTCATCAGCAACTCGATGTAAGGGAACTAAGGGACGGCATTTCAAGCTTCAAACGAAACCATTGATTTTAGGAAAGGTTGAAAGAACAGCTGGTACGGTGAGGACTGCCGTGTCGCAGTGGAGAGAAAGCGAACAGCCTACATCGCAAACGAACAGACGACAATCGGAAGGTAATGATTTAGTGACTGATGTTGAGCGTATACTGAAGATATGGAAGGAACACTTCTTCAGTATTCTCAACGGCAGTGAAAGTGTAACATCTGACGATAAAATAGATGTTCCATCGACACACACCATTCGTCAATTTTAAAGCCGCCTTCGTTCAGGAAAAAGAACTGCCTCTATGCCGCTATGTCTGAACTTGTTATCCTCGCAAAGCTACTTCGGCTGCGTTGAGCAATACCAAAAGCTCCATCAGGATCGTGAAATGCTTTTCGGAGCCGTTCGATACCAAAGGAGGTTTCAGACAAAAAGATGCACTATCCCATTCGCGACTTGGCTCACTCGTCACTGTTGACAGTCATAACATTGAGATCGTAGATAATTACGTCTATCTTGGAATCAGCATCCACACCAAAAACAATATCATGGCCTTGAAACTCAACGTAGAATCGCTCTGGCCAACGGGTTCTACTTTGGACTGGGTAGGCAGTTGAAAAGTGAACAAACAACGACCAAACTCTAAAAGTACCTCATCATTCCCGCCCTGCTATATGGTGCGGAGGCATGGTATTCAGGAAAAGGTTTTGCGAAAAATGCATGGTTCTCTGCACATTGGAAAAGGTGAATATCTCATTTGATGGAACGTTGAGCTGTACGGCGACATTGACATAGTTCAGCGAATCAAGAGACGACTGCGCTGGCTAGAACATGTCATTCTGATGGGAAAGAACACTCTAGCTTTGAATGTTTTCGATTCAGTACCCGCCGATGGAAGCAGAGAAAGAGGAAGAACTCCACTCCGTAGAAGAGGTCAGTTGGAGACGGACCTGACTGCATTTGTTATTTTGAATTGACTTCAAAAAGCGAAAAGAAAAAACGAATAGCGCGCTGTTGTTAAAACGGCTATAATTGCTTAAGCGATGTCTACGCCAGTAAAGAAGAATAACAATTTAGTGTTTACATCCCCCATCGTCTGTGTTGCAGCATTTGAGTCTCACACCAATCACTTGATCTCTGACATGTGGTCTTTAAAATGGAGTAAAACGCATATTGTGCCGTTATGTTTTAATTTCAGTAGAGATGTTTAATTTTCGACTTTTCTTTTTAATTTTTTTTCCTAATTGAAACTTATCGTCAAAAACTACCTGCACTCTTCAATATGCCAAAAAAGACTTACTTCCAACATTGTCAATCGAGAACGAAGTGGCTCAAACTCTTAACAATACACAAGGTGTGTCTGCTTTTTCGAAAATAAAGGCACGAAAATAAGTAAATATTAAACTAAGACATAAAATGACCTGAATAATCTTCAAAAGTTATATATTTTGTTACATTTACTTAGTTGTTAAAGCGAAATATGCTTAAAAGGCGCACAGAATTTGGCATTATTCTTCGGAGGTAAATTGTCTCGGGCCGGCGCTTATTTATTATGGCTCTACAGGGTTCCTCATTGACTGTAACATATTGGCCGACTTCAGTTTTTAGAGATATATGAACCAATGATTGATAAGATGTACCGACATCTCAATTCGGTATTCTTGTGGATTAATATCAATCCAAATGCGAAAAATTTGTTTATTAGCGGACACGTTCAATTAAAATTGAGCTTCATTGCTAAACAAAATTTTCTTGTGAAAATCGGGATCGGTGGTCATATCGTTTTTGCACGACTTACTTACGTTGTTCAGGAGTAAGTCTTTTTTCTTGAAGTGACAAAGTAAACTTAGTATAAATCATGTAATAGCTATCAAAAATACTGAAAGAGTTTTGTCTCCATGAAACCCTAAAAAACAACCGTTATAATAATATGCAGGAATAATGGAGAATCGGGAAAGATATGTAGGTACGAGCCATGGCTGGTGACCTTTCAAACAAAAGTTTTGGGAGTTGTAAGTAAGACGTGAAAATACTAGACGGATCAAACTCTCCAAGGAAAGAGTTTAGAATTCAACAGACGTCAAAATCTTGAGTTTTAGCCTTCGAAGTTTGCATGGTAATCAATCTCAACAGGTGTTAAAATTTTCACCGTTACGTGGGTATGAATATGTTCTCACATACTGTCTTTAAGACTCCGATATTGAATATTAAAAATATACTTTTAAGATGAATAAAGATTCCAAAATGTGCTAATTGAAGCACAAATATATAAAAGAGTAGGTTTACATCATACATACATCCACATAAGTCGTCGTTATTTTCGCCAAATACAATTTCACTACTAACAATAGGCTTCTTTGTATAAACTTTGATTTTATTCCAAAAAGTTGACAAACAGAAAGTGCAAACACACAGCAGAAAGAGAAAAAATTTATTTAAGTCCATTGTGAAGCGCAATCCGAGGGGAAATGATAAAATCTAAACATTTTTGAAAGATATGAATATGAATGTAGAAGAAAGCTATATAACAAGCAAAATAATAAATAAGTTATTAATTGATGAAACAAATGTGCGGTGGATAAGAAGTTTTTGACCTTCTTCGAATTAACTTGCCTTAGAATTAATAAAAAAACGGATTATATCAAATCTAGACAACGCATAACTGTTACGATAATCGGACGGAAAAAAATATACATATATAATATTTTAAACACAGTGGGTTGCGGATGATGAAAATGCCAACGGTTCTAATTTTTTATTGAAAGTAATCGCAAACACTTTCTTACAAAATTGAGAAAGATTCGATTTTAAAGCAAAAGGCGATCGGTTGAAAACGCATTGATCTCAATTTGAAGAGCGTAAAGACAATATGCAATTAGAAAAGGTCTATAGTTAGTCTCCTTACAACAACAAGTTGTTAAAAGTATTTTCGCTGATAATGTTGGCCTCCTTTTATAATTTAGCATAATATTTTTACCCTAAAGAGGGTTTGTAACACTTCAAAGAAAAAGTCAGAGGGTCTATGAAATATATAGTATTTATATGTATACAGGGCTGGTCCTGAAAGCAATAGGATTGAGTCCATTTAAAAAAAATATTGAATCAATCGTTACAATTCTTTAAAAACTTTCCAAATAGGCTCCGTCTGCGTCGATGTAGCGCTGCCAGCGCGATTTCCAAGCATTGAAGGTGTCAAGGATGGCATTCTCCGGAACCGCCTTGAGAGCCGAAATGAATGCTGCTTGGATCGCCTCTGTGGCGTGTGCCATTCGGAAGATTATCGCTTTGTTTCAGGATCACACTTAAAGATCCATGACTTGTCACCAGTGATTAGTTGGGGATTAGTTTCACACATGTTCAAATTTTCTTGACACACTCGTCTCAGTTTCTGATCGTCAGTGAACACTTTTGGGTCCATCTTCGCGCACACCTTACGCATTTTCAAGTGTTCCGTCACAATGTTATGAACGATAGATTTCGAAAAATTAAACATATTGGTAATTAAACGGATGTCTTCATCAGCGAACTCTTCCCGGCCCTCCAAAAAGACCTGGTGCCACCGAAACAAACCACTCTTGCTAAAGCAACATCTGGGTAAGCCTGCTTGATCATATCAAACGACAGAGTCGCAGATTTACCGAGTTTCACAAAGAATTTAATCGCGTAACTCTGCTCGTTCATTAGAACGCTGCTTTTTCGGCTTGCACCACTCAGAGAAACACGACGCGCGAAAATGTTTTTCCTGACTCTCTAGGTACTCGGAGACAACTGATCAGTCGCTCGTTCGTTTGCTAATAAGGCTCTCTACCGAATCTAGTTGGTGTGCGCACGTTCCGAAGTACAGTCGCGGCGGAAGTAAATCAGTTCTACTACTTTCCGGACAAACCGTGTATGTACATATATAAATGATCAGCACGCAAAGCTGAGTCGATTTGGCCATATCTGTGAGTCTGTGTGTAATACGGGTACTAGTCTCTCGCCTTTTGAGATATTGTTCTGAAGTATTATCGGAACCGTCGATATTGGATCACTATAGCATATAGCTGCAATAAAAACTGAGGGCTGTAATACAAACCAGGGCTTTAAATCGATTCCTTTTCGGGCGTAAACCGAACCGAAAACTACTTAAAATATTGGTTCGGTTCGGTTCAAAAGAAAAATACTCAATAAAAATTTTAAGTTAACTAATACACGACGTGTTTAAAAATAT